CAATTTATATTCCCATCAATAGTGTATGAAGGTTCCCTTTTCTCCATATCCCTGCCAACACTTGTTATCTCTTGTCTTTTTTGATGATAGCCATTTTAACAGGTATGAGGTGATGTCTCCTTGTCCTTTTATTTTGCATTTTTTGATATTGATGTTGAGTATTTTTCATATATTTGTTGGCTATTTGTGAAATCATCTTTGGAGAAATGTCTGTCCAAGGCATTTGCCCATTTTTAAATTGGGTTATTTGACTTTTTATTGTTGAGTTTATAGGAATTCTTGTATATCCTGGATATTAACCCCTTATCACATCTATGATTTGCAAATATTTTCTCCTATTCCGTAGATTGCCTTTTCATTTTGCTGATGGTTTCTTTTGTTGTGCAGAAGCTTTAACAAGATGTAGTTACACTTATTAATTTTTGCTTTTTGTTGCTTGTGCTTTTGGTGTCATATTAAAAAAATTATTGCCAGTGTTTTACTCTTAAAAGGGTTTCCTAGTAGGATAGTACCTACTCTTTATCTCCAAATTACCTCTTCCTTCTGAGTTATATTTTATCATTTTAATGGTATCTCAGAACCAAAAATGTTAGTCTTTTTCTGTTAAGATTACTTTTTAAGTAATTGATTTATTTTACTTGTATATTAAAAATGCACATATTTTAAAGAGTCAAATAGTTCTATTGGGTTTATTATACTTCCCAGAATAACAGTTCTCAGTACCTCCACTCTGTTTCTTCTGTTTCAGAAGTAGTCACTTTCACCTGGTTTAGCTGATTATTTGATTTTTATGACCGTGTCATTCAGTTGGATGCTTGATTGTTCAGGGCTGGTTTTCTCATTATGGCAGGTAAGGATTTAGTTCTCTTCCACACCCAAGCCCCAAGCCATCACACACATGCTCCCTTCTCCAAATCTCACCTTCCCAATATAATTAATATAACTTTTAATATTCTTCATTTATATGACTATATCTATGTTTGTTATTAAGAGCTGAGCCTTGTAGTAAAGTTTAGATTTCATCATTATTTCTGTACAACATGTAGTTCTTCATGAAGTTAATAATTGTCTTATTGTTTGTTTTCCTATTTGCTTGGTTTTCTGTGTATTTACCAACCCCAGACTCTTTGAAAGTTGTTTAAATTTTTCAGGATGCTCAGATTTATTGGATTTTCTCTTAATTTCTTCTTCCTGAAGCAGTCTGTTCCTGGGCCCTGTAATCTGCTTCAGTGGGCACAGGTTACCCTTTCTCCTGTGCACACAGCTGGCCTCCTGGGACAGCCCTTCTCTTTCAGTCTGATGGATTGCCAGTCTCCATCAGGTACCCTCTGTTTCTTTCTTGTATTGGCTTGTCTGTCTTCCTCTTTCTTGGTTTACATCTCTTTTTGGAGCATACTTTGCATATTCTAGTAGCTTCCAGAGAATAAGATGCATAAGAGATTATTTATTTGTTTGAAACTCTGCTTCTCTGAAAATATCTTTATCATTTTTTTTTTTTCTATTTTACTTGTAGAATCTTGTCTTTGTCCCCAGGGTTCTAAATTTCATAGCGATGTATCTTGATGTGGGTCAGTCTGTATCCAGTGTCCTGGGTATTACGTGTCCTTTCAATCTGGAAGCTCATGGCCCCTTAAATTTTGGGAAGTGTTCTCAAATATTTTAGCTGATGCTTTTCTCCCTTCTATCTTCTCTGTTATCTTTTTCTGGAGCTTCTGTTTCTTGGATATTAGACTTTCTGAAGTGGTTTCTAGTTTTTTCTTATCTTTTTAAAATTTTTTCTTCACTTTCTAGATTTCCTCAGCTTATATTCTGTCTGTCTTCATTTATTTTTTTTTTCTGTCTATCATGTTTTTAACTCTTTTACCTTAGAATGTTTCTTTTTTTATATCATACTGTTCTTGTCTCAATACTGCAATAAATTCTCTTAACTCTTATTGGGCATGTGTTTGGTGTCTTTTGAAGTTTTCTTTTCTTTGCATGGCCACTATCTTCCAAGGTACTTGTTTCTATTTGTTTGGGTCTCAGTTTTACATCAGGGGCTTTCTAAAAATGCCTGGAGGTCCTTGATTTGTCTGCACACATTTAGGAGTAGGGAACCAAAATGCTGATTGGAAGCTCTGATGTATGCATAGGGCTTGTCAACTGTGAGCTTCATTGTAGACAGATCATAGGAAACTTCCAATGTCACTATCCTTAGTTGTCTTCTCTTGGGCTGGTCAGCTCTTTTTATTCTCCTGCCTGGAGGGTAAAAGCGTAGTTGCTAGCTTTCTGGGAACCAGATAAGGGAAGACGGTTGGTGCTCTCAGCATCTGATATGCATATATTCATCTAATCCCATTTATTTGCCTTCAGCTGTACCCCCGCTATTTGCACTCCAGTCTAGAAGCCCTCTCTTTTACTCTCTATAGAAAAATAAACCTCCAGTTACTTCCTAGGTGTGTAGGGGGTTGGGAAAACAGCTCAGGTGTGTGGAGTAGGGGAGGCCATCTAGGAATCTAAGCCCTTCTTAGATAGTTGTTCAGCCAGGCCTACTTAGTTTATACTTCTTCCACCCCCAGCCTTTTGGACCTTCTAGGGAATAAAATGAAGTGAATCTTTTTCCCCACTGCTAACTTACGATTCAGGTCTGCTGTGTCATTTGCCACTCTTCCATCTGCATTTTAACTTCTCATATTTTGCAGCTAGTATCTCCTATTTTATTCTCCCTGTTTTTGTTGGTTTATGGCTTAAAAAAAAAAATCATTTTGCTGTCCTTTACTTGGGTTTTGGGAAAAAACAAAGGTAGTCTCATGCATTCAATCTTTTATTTTTACCTGAAAGCCTCACCATTGCTGTTTATTTACTGGACCCCCAAGGGTCTAAAGTTTTTAAAAGAAAAATTCAATGGCCCCTGGTAAACACTCTAAAATATACTTCAGAGAAAGAATGGCCAGACCATAGTCCTTTGATTATAAAAATTTGGTTATTTGAGATATCTCTTTTAAGCCAAGGTGTTCAAAAGATTTAGTTCCTCACACACAACGTTGTTCCTCTTCTTCCATCTCCACCCTCCCCACAGTTTGACCAGTTCCCATTGTGTCATCCAGTTCAAGTTGAAGTTCTTTATGGAGCACCACAGGGAGGCATCAGTTTGGAGAGAATGAGATAGCTATGAGAAGGTAGAAAAATGAGAGAGGTAGGCGCAGTACCTCATGACCTGTCAGATCCATGTCATGCTTTTATCAAGACCATTGTGACTGTCTTTAGCCTCTTCTTACTGGCTTGGGATCAGAGCAGCTATTCTTCAGAAAGCTGTGGTTTTCTTTCAAGCCCCATAGAAGCTACACATATCACTGGATTGGCTCCAGCATCACTGAATTTCATTGTCTCTTTAAAGAGGAACATACCTTTAGCTCTCTCAGTCAGCAATGGAAAGAGCTCTGATTCTAGAAGCAAGATGAAACTTACAAGCAAGTTTGAGAGAACAGCTGCCTCCATGCTGGGTTTCCAGCTGTTTTGAGCATGCCCTTCTATATTCTTCCTTCAAGTTTTCCTCTAATGACTTCCAAACAATATCATAGCATACTTATTCAAACTTGATATCATATTTATTTTTTCCTTAAGTTTAAGTCTATGTTTCCTATTAAAAATTTTGTTTTTCATCAGAGGAATTCTGCACTATATTTCTTTGGATCTAAGTTGGTAGAGTTTCAGAGGGTAATAAATAATGACCCCTCTACCTCCTTTAGCTCAGAATTAGTTGAGAAACAAAGAAGTCAAGCACATGGAGACCAAAATATAACCTTTATTATTGATTGTTACTGGTAAAGCACTTAGAAAAATGTCACATTAGGTCTGCTGGCCACTATTAGTGTGTTAATATTTTGACCCAGAATATGACATCTTATCCTCTCACTGACCAAATTGGACAGTTACAGGCCACTCCATGAACGTTTAACCCTCTAAAACTTAAGAATAACTCCTGCAAAGGAGTGAGTAAGGGGCTAAAAGAGAGGCTAGGGTTGTTACTCTAATGGAACATGAGGAACGTGAGGAGAGGAGAACTGCAATATGAGGTGATAGCAATTCCCCTGAAGACACACCATCGATTTATAGCAAATGCTCAGAAAAAAAAAATACTATATTAAATAAGGTTATATGACACATTCAGATTTCAGAAACATTAAAATAATTTTCCCATCTTACAAGTAAAGTAGTATAGTGTTGTGAGTTATCAATCAAATGTTTCTTTGGTAAAAACCTTCTTTATGATTTGGAATAAGCGGCAGACACACCCTTGGCTGGGGCGGGGAGCCCCAGCTGTAATTCCAGTCTTGTTACAAACTAGCTGGGGGTCCTTGGCTCCGTTGAACCTTTCCAGGCCTGTTTTTAATCTGTTCAATGAGGAATGAAGGACCAGCCGAATATAGTAACAGATAAAAAGGATGAGATAGATAAGACCTGAACTTACACAGCTAATTAGTTTCAGAGTTGGGACTAAAACCCAGATATCTCCCTCCCCAAGTCTCATTGTATTCTACTATATCTGTTTTAGATGGACTTAAATTTAGATAAAATAGTTTAGTAGAATAGAAGTGATCATTTGTTCATTCATTCATTCAACAGAGAATTTTTTTTTTTTTTAATGTCAAGTACTGTACTAGGCAATAAGGATGGATAAGATGTTTTTGTCCCTATAGCAGCATACATCCTATGCCTTTATATGTTTGTAGCTATGAGTGACTACCTCAGCCACCACCATTTATAGCCTCACATGAAGGGCTTCAAACTGATCCCTGGAAGAGATCCAAACCTCCTTGGCTGCTCTGAAACTATCATCCCCCTTACACTTTCCCTGAGACCTGAAATAATATCCCTTCAGTTGGCATGACCCACCTTCAAGAATTGGCTCATACCATCTTAGCACACAAGTCCTTCAAGGGCTTAAAGAGAAAAAAATACAGAGTAGTATCCAGAACCATATATTGACCTCATTATGGTTTTTCTCTTTCTGGTTATAGGGTACTCAAGCTGGCATTACTACGTAACCATGCCAATGCCAGCCTCCACCCTCACAATTGCAGTGGGATCCTGGACAGAAATGAAGCCAGAGACCTACTCATCAAATGATCTGGCAGCGGAGAGAAGATCCTTCTCACCTTCAGAGGCTGACTTCAGGTTTGTGTTTGGGAACTTGTTGAAAAACAAACACTTGAATGAGAAGAATGATGCATTTATTCCAAGTACTGGGAATGTGAGTCATCCCTGCTGAGAAACTAAACCAAAATATGATTAGTTGAAAGGAAGAAATGTGGGCATATTGTTTATGCAGAAAGGACGAGAAAAGAAAATAAGTGTATATGAAATCCTGTGTGAAGTCAGGTGAAATATTTTCGTGTGTTTGGTTAAGTCAACAGAATCTTCAGATTCAATACTTTCCTTCTTTCTACATCTTTTAACTTTGGTTTTCAGTGCTTATTTGGTCAGAAACAACTTAATAAAAAGAAGTCGCTTGTCTGATGAATGCTGTTTTGGTTCCAGTGACCACTGAGTGCACCGAGGAAGGGGCAGTCTTCCCTCGGTGGGGAGAGTCAGCTTCCTTAGGACCACAGGACACAAGGATGCTGTCACAAGGCCGTTGGGTTATGAGAATCTTGCTGGATGAGGACTCTGTTAACTTTAGTAGCAGTTCCTTCTTTTTCAGAGTGTATCAGAGAAAAATCAGTTTAAAGTTTTGGAAAATTAGTATAGGCATAGGATATTCACTTGCAACCTTCCCAGATGTTCGTCTTTTTCGAGCTTGAGAGCCCAATGGGGAAAAGGGAAATGCGTGTAAGAGGTGCAGGAATGTGCTAATCGTGCAGCATGGCATCATGCTACATTCCTAGGACTTTGACACTCAGCTCATTTTCATCATTTTTCCTATTTACAGGTAGTCACTAAGTGAGTACCTTATGCTGGAGAATGCCCAGGGTCATGGGACAGATGGTTAGTTCATCCTTGAAAACCTGGAAATTCCTTTTGTGCTGCTTTTACTTTGCCATGTTGCTTTTGCACTTTCTGCAGTGACTGTAGTGGTTGGTGTTAGGAAATAAAGGCATTGAGCCCTTTCTCATGACAGGCATGTCTTATTGCCTGCATTTTGCTTTTTGAAGGAAGAGGTAATTTCTACTTCCTGATCAGTAACTTGCCTATTTTGGACTATCCTCTCTGAGCTGTATAGAGGATCCTAGATTGCTTATTGGATTTTACTTATGCACTCTCAAGAGAAGAGACTTGTGGACAGAAATGACATATGTTACTTTCATGTGAGAATATTTAATTGCTTGTGAGACCCTCTAGTGCTCTTTTCCCTGCCACTGAGATCACACGGCAGGCCTCGTTTTGCAATTCTAGGCAGCCCAAATTTCTGAGGAGAGAGGACAAGTGCCCTAAAGAGTCACTCGGATCCACAGCAGATTTGATATGAGCAAGAAATAAACTTTTTTTGTGTTAAGCCACTGAAATACTGGAAATGTTTGTTATTGCAGCATATCCTATCCTATTCTGAATTAATACAGAATCCACTGGATGTTTGAAGTCAGGGAAAGTCTTGATCTAAATGTCATGTTGGTTAGTCATGAGAATAAGACTGTAAGATAGGTAGGTTTTATTATCTCCCTTATATATATAAAACAAAGATACTGAGACTTCAGACGGGAACATGTTTGTATACGTTCATCTCCCTACTGAGTCACAGTACCTGGATTTACGTCTGGCCTCAACCCCCTAGAGAAGTGATTCAGAATCTTACCTGGGGACTTTTAAAAACTGTGTATAACATCCGCACCTCACCCTAAGTCTGATCCACCTTCCCACCTGGAGAGTCAGCACCATGATTGGAATGTGTTGCATTGGAGCAGAAAACAGAAGTTGAAAGCGCTGTCTTTGAGCCGGTAGTTGCTATCCCTATTGGGTGGGTGTGTTTCTTGCAACAAAGCCACACTGTCCTTCTCTGTAAAGACTTTGCTCGGGCCCGGTTCTCAAATTCTTCATGGTGAAGAAGCACTCTGCTCTTCACCTGCAGCCTCAGGACTGATTGACTATTAGAAGAGGTATGCAATTGAAAACTGTGTGCCTTAGTAAGGCTAGGAGAAGGCAAAGAAAGAAATTTGTTATTTTATCCTTCTAGCCATATTCCCAGAGATCTGAGGTGGGAGGGGGGACAGCAGTCATTTCCTATGCACTCTCTGTGCTGCCCAGAAGCAACTGAAATGGCTTTTCACTTTCCTTTCAACCACAGTTGAGAAGGGAGGAGGACATGGGCAAATGAAGTAAGGGTTCCAGGAAGATGTGATATCCGAAATCCCTGCTAGAGTTTAGGGGAAAGGGTAAATATGACTCCTTTCTTGTCCTCCTGAGTTCAGAACCAACTGAAAAACAAACGGAAGGAGAACAATGAAACTTTAATTACTGACAGAAGCTGGACTGAGGGAATGCTCAGGTGTACAGTATTAATGGACTTTCTAATATTCCATTTCCAAATCAGACATACTTCCCCACCCAGTTACCCACCCAGCTGGACCACTGCTAGCCTCCACAGTATGGATGTACACAGCCTGCATCACAGCCAAAAAGTACCCCCTCTGTGGGCAAGCAGATCCAAAAAGAGAAAGTCCAGAGTCGCCCAGCCAATCATCAGCTGGAAAGAGAGGCCTGGGGAACGGACTCCCTCCCATACTCTCCTCCATGTCTGACATGCTATGACTAAGTTTTCCCTTCATTTATCACTGCGCTTGTCTATCAGAAATGTACTGCTGATAAAATAATAGCTTACATTTGTTTATTCCTTCCCTGGCTACGTGCTTCATGTGTGCTGTCTTTAGTCATCAGAGGGTGGCTTCGTGCTTTTATCCGTTAAATCTCTGGCTCCATGCTAAGTTTGCCAACAACGGTGCTCTAAAGTGCCAACTGAAGTGGTGTTTTTCGTTATGTTCACATCTGGTCCCCTGGCCTTCCCCAACCCCCCTGTTGACTTCAAACCTTCCTAAGACTACTACTAGTTCAATTCACATAAATGTACCTTTTACAGGGGCCTTATATACCACAGGCTTTCATTTGCTTAAAGTATTCATCTGGGTCCCAGAAATTTGGCCAAAGTATTGGTCACTGAACTTTTGATCACTGTTCATATGGGCTAGATTGTAGGAAGAACAGCCCCTCTTCCAGCTCCAGTTCCGCATACCCTTCAGCCCACTGTGGGCGAGCATTTCAGTAAATATATTAGTTATAAGGCACTTAGATAAACTGTTGAAAGTTTATTAATTTCATTTGGCTATAGTATAACCTTCTTCAGCCACAGTGGAATCTTTGTATTATGTTTAACCTCTCGAGGCCTTTGCTAAAGCATTGTCTTCACTTTGGGGCCATACAGTTTAAGCAGGACACTTGGATAAAGTCCAGAAGAACTCAGCAAAAATTATTAAAAACATGGAAAATAGGCACCATGAAGCATGGGGAAACATGGGAAAGGCAGTGAGGTTGTTAATCCCAAAGAAAGGTAGACTTGATGGGGAAAGAAGTCATCTTTATAGCTGTAAAGTCGATGAAAAGTTGCCTCATGGACCTTGGAAGATGAGGCACTGTTTCTATCTCTTTGGAAGTCTAGAAAAGAAGGAATGGTAGATATATATCATAGGAGAAAATGCCGATTTCCAATACGCCCCTCACCGAGAGAGGAGCCTTTCCATATCTTCCTGGCTTGGTTTGATTTCTCCAGCCCTTGCTCTCCCAGGGTATCCGGCTTTCTGTCTCATAATGCACATATTTCATGTTGCTCTGTAATGTACTGAATGCCCTAAGGAAACACATCTAGCTTTAAGACATTACTCTGTCATCATATGTATTGACATCATTGTCGGCAATGCATTGGGGGCTGGTGGTAGCAGTTTGAACACTTGTGATTTTTAGCAAACATCTACTCTGCTTCCTAAAATATGTTAAAAAATTGTATAAACATATTACATGTCATTGAATTTATCAGACTTAAATTTTTCTTTTCTCTCAACAAAACTGTAAACTCCTAAAGGTAAAGTCAGAGTTTATTCATATGTATGTACACAGCAGCACCCTGTGGGGTGCCTCAAATAGAACAAGAATGCGGGATATATTTACTGAATTGTCATATTGAACCAAGGAAGGGGTTGTGAAGTAAGGATATGTGTTCCCAAGGGAGAGACTTACCAATGATTTCTTTCAAACCTATGACAGGGAAACATTTGTGTCAGTTGGTTTCGGTACAGCCCTGTCTTTTTTTTTTTTTTTTTTAAATAACCTGATAGTAACTTCCTGATATACCCCTATCAGGCCTTTTTCCTTTTTGTTGGTTGTATACTATTTTTCCCCTAGCTTTATTAAAATATAATAGATAAGTAGTTGCTCATATTTATATTGTACAATTCAATGAATTTTTTTTTCAATTTATAGTTGGTATACAATATTAGTTTCAGTTGCACAGCATAGAGATTAGAGTTCGAATGATCACCCCACTAAATCTAGTGTTCTTATTTACCCCTTACATATTTATTATAACATTATTGACTATTTTCCTTATGCTACACTTTATATCTCCATGACTATTTTATAACTATCCATTCGTACCTCTTAACCCCTTTGCCTTTTTTTTTGCTGTCCCCCAACCCCCCTTTCATCTAGTAGCCCTCAAAATATTCTCTGTATCTATGAATTTACTTCTGCTTTTGTTGCTGTTGTTTATTTTGTTCTTTAGATTCCACATATATGTGAAATCACATGATATTTGTCTTTCTCTATCCAACCCATTTCATTCAGCGCAATACCCTCTAGGTCCATCAAGGCAATATCTTTTTCCATCCCTTTCCTTTTAGTCTGTGTGTATCTTTCAATCTGAAGTGAGTCTCTTGTAGGCAGCACACACAGAGGTCTTGTTTTCTTATCTATTCAGCCACTCTATCCTTTTGTTGGAGCACTTTGTTCTTTTCCATTTGAAGTACTCATTGATAGATATGTAGTTATTACCATTTTTTATTCATGATTTTGATACACGTTTTTTCTCCTTGCAACATTTCCTGTAATAGCAGCTTTGTGGTGGTGAATTCCTTTAGCTTATTTTTGTCTGGGAAGCTCTTTATCTGTCCTTCGACTCTAAATGATAGCTTTGCTGGATACAGTATTCTTGGTTGTAGATCCTGGGTTTTCATCACATTGAATATTTTGTGCCAGGCCCTTCTATCCTGCAAAGTTTCTTTTGAGAAATCAGCTGCCAGTCTTCTGGGTGCTCCCTTGGAAATAACTAACTGATTTAATCTTGCTGCTTTTAGAATTCTCCCTTTGTCTTTAACTGTTGGCATTTTAATTCTGATGTGTCTTGGTGTGGGCCTCTTTGAGTTCCTTTCTTTCTTTGAAGAAATAATGATGGAAAACTTCCCTCACTAGATTAGGGAAGTTTTCCATCATTATTTCTTCAAATAGCTTTTCCGCTTCTTGTTCTCCCTCTCCTCCTTCAGGTACCCTTATTACATGAATGTTTTTATACTTAATTTTGTCCCATAGGCTCCTTAAGTTATTATTATATTCTTGGCTTCTTTTTTCTTGCCATTCCGATTAGATGTCCTTGGCTTCTCCATCCTCTATATTGGTGGTTCTATCCTATTTTTTATCTACTCTGTTTATTCCATCTAATATACTCTTCATCTCAGATAATGTGTTCTTCATTTATGACTGGTTCCCTTTTATAGTTTCCATTTCCATTTATATATATATATTTTTATCTCTTTGTTAAAGTTCTCACTGAGTTCATCTACATTCTCCTAAGTTCATTGAGCATCTTTATAATGAGTGTTTTGAACTCTACATCTGTTAGATTACTTGACTCCATTATTCTTGGATCTCTATTCTGTTCTCTCATATGGTTTTTGCTTCTTTGTCTTCCTATTTTGGCTGCCTTTTTGTGTCTGTTTCTATGTACTAAGCAAAGCTCCTAAGTCTCCCTGTCGTATTACCGTAGCTTTGTGTAGTAGGTATCCAGCAGCACAGTCCTGAGAAGGGTTCAGCTGCAGCCCAAATTTAGCCCCAGCCTCTGCCCCTCCAGGGCCACATGTTAAGATTCAGCAAGCAACCCACAGATGCTGTGCTTATAGTTGCCTCAAGAAGCCACCAGAACCGAGGCCAGCTGCCACCAGTGTGGGTCTTGGAGCTTACTCAGCAAGTTTTACAGGACTTGCTGAGAACACAACTGGATATGGCTTGGGTAGGGCCGTGATTTGGGGGAGGCGAAGTTTTGGGGAATCATCTGGGCGGAGTGACCTCTGTTATTCAGCTTGATGACGTCTCAGCTATGGCAGCACCTGTGTCTGCACACTGGGAGTGGGGAGGGCTCAACAGAGGAACAATGGGTATTGCCAGCATTTCTGCCTGGGAGAAAGCCTCACCTCCTGCCCTCTCTCAGTGTCCCCTGTAAGTCCCTGGTGCCCCCTGGAGCAGCCTACTGGGGACTGGTGCTCAGAGCAAGCAGGTCCATCACTGCAAAAGTCTGGTCATGGACACAGCCCCTTTAAGAGGCATCTGCAGCTGCCAGCTGACGCTGCCTCTTCCTATGTCCCACTCAGCCATTCCAGATCAGGCAGTCTCTCG